GATCATCTTTAATGTTACTAATGTTGCCCTTTGATTCTCTGGATTATGAGTATTTGAGCATTTTTATCTTCGTAGGTCATTTCCAATCCAATCTAATAATGGATTGATAATTAACTGTGAATTCAAACAATGCCGATCAATGAATTCTTTATCTTACAGCTGAAAAATTCACTTGAATTAATAAAAATGCCAATCATTGTGGTGAGTGAAGAAAAGCCCATATCTGATCGATAGTGAAAAGAGCTGTGCTTGTGGCTGGCGGGGACTGATGTAAGCGCCTGAGTGTCCTCTACAGAGAATGTGTCAGCGAATGTCTGATATAATTACATACATAACAAAGCTGAAATGTGATCAGGGCCACTAACCAGCAGTCAGCGGAGCCAACACTCCTTGTAATCAAACAGGATTAATAGAAAGAAACGTGTCTCTGTTGTGTTTAGCAACCAATCAGATCTTTCCTCTCGATCCCTAGCTTATGACTGGAATCCTACTGGTTGCTATGGGCAACAGAGATGTAGTAATTTTCACCGTTTTTGATCAATTAAGCTATCCGCACACCGGTAGATTATCATACGGACGGTCATACGAAAAATCTCGTCAGAACGTTCAAGAATGCCACCGGAGACTTGAGGAATGTCATGTGACGATAATGAGGTTTGAGCCTATTAATATGAAATATATCTAAGCAAATGCAGTTGTAGGTGACCTTAGCATGCCCTCAGTGCCAGCTCTCTTCAAATTCCCAAAAACAGAGATCTGCTAATCTGCGCCTGTAATCTGTATAGTTCTTAAGTGAAGCATAAGGGCCCGTTCACATCAGTTGCAGTGCGTTCTGGCCTGATTCTGGCCAGAACGCACTGTCTTGCATTGCGGCCGGCTCACTTTTTTTTATGGGGCAGGAGGGGGCGTGGTGGGCCATTGAAGTGAATGGCACTGTAGCCACGCCCTTTGGCCACAATGCGATCGGCCGCACGGGATCGCAAGGCACATTATGCCTGCGGTCCGATCTGCTGCGATCAAAATAGTGTTTGCAGCATTTTGATCGGACCGGACCACATGCACTGCAACTGGTGTGAATGGGCCCTTAAAACTGATTGTTATCTAGAGTTTCCCCTGGACCTGGCATTAATCAGTTTAAGTGATACCTTAATGAGCGGTATCGTAAATTCCTAATAGCACGGTGATGGTTTCGCCCAGCTCAGCTAATCCCCAATAAATTAGCAATTGACAGGTTTTAGATAAACACACGGGCCTGGTAGAGTTAACGACCCAGGTGATCCAGTATTCACCCTACAGTCATAAAAACTGAGTTACAATATCAGCTCAATTTCATAACTTGGAATTGGAGAGTGATATTGTAAGATTAATGGCACAAATAGCTGGGTTTGGTCAAGATAAAAAAAATAGATAGTTTATGATGCTCAGGGGCCGGACAGGCGACAAATCTGCCAAGTTTGGTCTCAGTTTAAAGCTACCTGCATGACGCATCATAATTTAGGGGTTGTTGGACAGTATTGAATATTAATACTCAATTATCCTTTTAGTTATGAATTTAACAGTTTTGGGAGGCGCAGAGGAGGACATCGTAAAGGTCCCCCTCCCCAGCCCTGCCTTAGGGGCTGGCTCCTTGACAGCCCCCTAGAGGGCTGACAAAAAGATGCTGCAAGGCAACTAGAGGAGGCTCATCGTAAAGGCTCATGCCTCCTGCTCCCCCTCCCCAGCCCTGCCTTAGGAGCTGGCTCCTTAACAACCCCCTAGAGGGCTGACAAAAAGGTGCTGCAAGGCAACTAGAGGAGGCTCTTGTTTATAACATCAAGAAAAGGAACTCCTGCAACATCAAGAAGTTTGTAACATCATCTGTGCAAGCTTGGAGAAGAGCCACTCAGACCCCTCTTTTGCTTATTAAAATCTGGACTCTGTCAGAACTCATAAAACTTGGACTGTTGAGTATTCTCCTTTTATTCCCTTTTGTTTTACTGCTGTTATACATTTTGTCTCTTTATGAATATCTTTTTCTGTATATTTTTATGCACTGTTTCTTTTATTAAAGGACGATTTTAAAAATCGTTAAGCTTATCTCTACGCTCTAAATTAGAACTTAAATTATCCTTGCCTCTGTAAAGAGCGCTACTGTATAGCGAGACCCGTCACATTCCTGTCTGAGTGGACAGCGGTATCATAGGCTTTGTTTAAGTGTTTCGAATTGTCACATCACTTGCTGGGATCAGTGCGTACTTCCGTTAACGTACATTGTGGCAGCGAACGTTTGTTGTGTAAAGGGTTAACTGCGGAGTAAACCAACCCTGGTGACGATCGCTCTCAGTCTGCTGGCCTGAAATTGTTGTCCCGCGAGCTGGGAAATCTCTGTACAGGGTGAGGTTGAGAGTGGTATCACCACGTCCTTGTGACGGCTCCCTCGGTTCAGAACTGAGTAAAGTCACGTTTGATTGATGTACAAGGGGTTCGGGACGGGCGTACGTCACATGTCATACGAAATTTCATTTGAATTTTAAGTTGGAATGAATGAATGCAAACCACATTCGATGTTAGAATTATGTTCAAGAAAAAATGTTGTCCTGCTCCTTCGGTTTATTTTTTTAAATTGATCATTGATTTGACCCCGTTAAAGAGGAACTTCAGTCACCAACTTAACGTCTCCCAAAACAGTTACTTTTAAGCACCGGTGAGCAACTCCACCCCTCCAGCTGTGCTTTAACTATAAATCCCAACATGCCTCTTCCTCTGGGAGTCATGCCTGAGACTGGCAGGTCCCTAATGTCACCCAGGGACCCCAAAGAAGCTGATGAAGATTTGCTTCATCAGCTTCTTCTCCGGCTACAGCAGGCGGAGAAATGACAGATTGAAACCAGATGTGATGTAAATATGCATCACTTTGGCTTCTAGTGATTGGAAGGGACATTAGCTGTTGTAAGTGTACTGATCTCCTTCTGATCCAGCCACAGAGGCCCACCGTGCCAATCCCGGGCCTGCACAGTGGACAGCAGAGG